CGTGGTAAGCATCTGAGAATGTTCCCTCTAGTCTGTTACACAGGGAGACTGTTTCATTACCGTTTACTGCCCTCAGATTACTAATTTACACATAGGAACTGTAAACTGCATTATGTCTGAACCCTTATCTGAAATCAGCAGTCTTTAGAGATGGGCTTTTTTAGGGGAAGTGCTGCCTCCAACTGTCTAGGTATCTATAGCAGTGACTCCTCTAATAATAACCTCCTAGCAAGGTTAATCTCATGGGAGGCCTCTGAATTCTCAAATCTCCCAACATTCCTGTATCAGTTAAAGAGCCGAGGGCTGTAAATACTGAACAAGCCCTCTTTGTAAGTGAGATTAACTTTTCCCTTGAAATTAGACATTTTAGAAGTGCTGCTGCCTTCTACTGTCTAGGTATCTATGGTACCAGCTACTCTAAAAAACCACACCCTAGCAAGGATAATCTTATATAAAGGCTCTGATTTCTCAAAGCCCTCTATAAGTTAAGGAGCCAAAGACTGTAAATACTGAACAGACCCTCTCTGTAAGTGGAAAGAGTTAAACTCCTTCCTGGAGAATAGGTATTTTTAGGCAGAGTGTTGTCTACAACTATCTAGGTATCTACTGTACCAGATCCGCCTAATAAAAAGCCCACACTAGGAAGGCTAATCTTATATTAGGGCCTAGATTTCTTATAGCCTTCAACATTCTTGTATAAGTTAAGGAGCTAAGGGCATTAAACACTGAAGCAACCCCCTCTGTAAGTGGAAAGAGTTAAACTCCTTCCTGGAGAAACTCATTATGCCTAGGTTATTCTTTGCAGGCCTCCTTTATTATCATACTCTATGTAGATATTTGTCCATTTATTTACTTTTCATGATGCAATAATCACACAGATATCGCTTGGTATATGAATTGTCAAGCCTTGTCTCTATGTTGGTTAACTTTCTGTCTTTGTATAAGACATTGGTAACTATATCCCTCCAAGTCACTGAACAATGTCCTTGTGGCTCTGACACATTATACGGTACAGGACACTGTATGGAGTATTCACCTCCCATCACCAATCCCATGTATTGATTTTTAGTTTCAGTGTTTTCATGAAGAGAGTATCAGTCTTGCTCCAGGATTGTGAATGCTGTTTAGTGCATAATCAATACAGTTTAGGTTAGGGAGGTATTTTAGTTTACAGAACTTTATTTGCCGAGGATAATAAGGGAGCAGCTGTTTTCTCTCATTCAGCCAATGTGAATCTGACATTTAGATTTATTTAATAAGGCAATTCAAAGAGCAGCGGCGGTGCAGGTGCAGTAATCCATAGCGACCGAGCTACACTTCATTAAACTACACTTCATTAGCTGAGCAGTCAGAAAAAATATAAAACTTTACTTACAATTACTTTTACAATTACAATTACTTACCACTAAATAGGCAGAGCCAGCAGTCACTCACGCAGCTGGGTGGATCCATACATAATTGTCAGGATCCACTTCAGCTGCGGCGTCTCAGTATACCACGAGCTGTAGCTTGCGGTATACTGAGCTTAGAGTGACGGGAGGACGCTAGTTTGTGTCCTCCCGTTACCATAAGGAGAACTATGGGGAAAAGCCCTAACCCCATAGTTCTCCTTTAAGGGTTTTTGTTCTCAGGTGGCATTTCTATTTTTACAGCTCAACTCAACGAGTGTGTTTTTTAACCAACAATGAAAGATGATTGCTATGGGTTACTGCATTGTATACGCCGCTCCAGGTTATTATTATTTCACTGAGCCAGTAAGCTAAAATTATAAGTGTATATAAAAAATAACTGATACTATCATTTAAAAATAGGGAAAATATTGCCCTGCACAAAACTGACTTTCTATTATTGTTGGGTAATTATTACTCACGAGAATTACGAGAAACCTTTCCAGAGCTAGAAACAATATCTCATGATGAGGCTCATGATGAAGTCAAACAATGCCTGCTGAAATCCAGCAGAGACAATGTGGGACATAGTCTGGTGAAGAGGACAGGGCTTCTCTAACAAAACACAGAGTATAATGTGAATGTGGAATATTGTCCTCAATTGGATATCGGTTGCACTGTACCATATCTCCTGATGTTATGGACATTGGTTTATGAAACCTGAAAACAGTTAGGAATGATTGAAGGTGGGATTAGACTGTGACATTCACCCATTATGCAGTGCTCAGGCCCAGGGACCAAGCACTGCCACATGACAGAGGGAGTGGCATCCCCACTTCCTCTGAACTCAAATATTAGCTGACACTGGGTATTTTGGTGGTGGCTGTGACAGAGGATGGAGCAGTAAAACATTGGTGGATAGATAAGTATAAAGTGTTTGGGGTGGGCTTTAAATAGATGCTGTCTGGAAAGAACAGTGTGTCTTTAAACTGAAACTATACTGTAAAATGAAGTCATTTTTACTTTAGATTTCAAATGGAGTTATTTAATAAAACCATTAAAAAATAGATGTTGCAGTCAAGGCCCCAATAACATTGCTATACGAATGGGCACTGATTGATTGGTATATGGCAATGCAAAAAATGCCTTCACATCAATCCCCTAAAGGTCTCTAGCAGGGATCATACGACCAGCCTGAATTACCAACATTTCCCATTATCGTATATTCTGGAGTTCTAAAATATGAGTGACTTTATTTGACAGTTAATAAGGCAGATAAGACCAAAAGGAAAAACTCTAAAGTTAATTTAAACTTGTCTACTACTATGGGTATAGGAACTTTTATATAGTTGTTATCGGTGTCTCTATACAAGATAACTTACATTTTAAGGTTACTGGCCCATGAAAGTTCATCACACCAAATTTTGACATATTACAAGTCCCATTGATCTCTAATTTAAACACTTTTCCAACGTGACCAAAGCTCTCATCCTGTGCAATGACAGCAGAATGCCATCAGAATTAATCTGTGTGGATTTATTTGAAAACTACCAGGCTGATTTACTAAGGAAAACATTTTACCCTTCAAATACCCAGAACGATTCAGGGGGAATAACTGTTATTGTATTTGTACATTTCACTGAACCTAACTGGCGAGTCAACAAATGCCAATGTAAAAATGGCCCCAATAGCTAACCACCTTTGCTTTTGGTGTTATCAGGACAAATAATACACTGACAGTAATACATTCAACTGGAATACAGCTAACTATAATGACATGACATTCTCTTTCTGAACAGACACTGGCATCAAGTAACATGGTGCAATCAATGCACCAGAGCAATCAATCAGAAGTCAGGGTTCTTTAGTTATATGGAGTAAACACAAGGGGGCGCCTTTAGGGTTCTTTAGTTAGACTACACAAAACTGTTGAAATCTGATTGGTTGCTGTGGTACACTGCCCTACCATCGTAGGGCCTAAAGACAAAATGTATTATCTTATGCAGTCTCTCACTAGCGTTAACACATCAGATTTTGTTTGCCACCCTATGCAACATCATTGTATTACCTGTTGATGCTTCCAGTAGATCTGTTTTTGTTTCCACTTCCTGTAACAGGGTGACTACACTGTTTGCTCTGCCGTGAATTCACACAGCAGTGTTGTCACTCTGCAGGACATAGTAGTCCCAGATGGGCATGTAGTTTCATGTAGGCAAACAAAGAAAGCCTACTTCCGGATAATACTTTTTAAACAGCAACTGTTTTTTTTTTTTTGGGGGGGGGGGG